TTAATAAATCTTACGCGACCAGAAAAAACAAGCGCGCGCGGAAAAATAGTCTTTGCATTTGCTCCCGTCAGCAGCGTACACCCATGGAAAAATGGGGGACGCTAAATTGACCAATCAGAGCGCGCGCTTTACTTTGGTTATGTTATAAAGCTGAACCGGGCCAGCCTGTCTAAATATCGAGAATTAAATAAATGGAGAAATAAATCAAGATACCTTGGCTCTGTATATGTTGTACCTGAACTTTGGAGACCACTTTAGTAAATGAACATTGTGCAGCACACTGTATTTAAGCCTGAACCACAAGTTCCAGTGGTAACTAGATAAATTCCAACCTCGTCTCCGTTTCGATCGGTGACTGAACCCCGGCAATTAAAGGAGGTGGAGCAGTAACTCATTTGCGGACAAGAAGACGAACTGCGCTTTTCCTCTCTAAGCATCATCACATCTGTGGTAAGACACAGTAAAAGTTTAAAAAGTCTGTACTTGAATCAAGTGGCCCATTCAGCCAGCGTTTAGGGATTAGTCATTGTTATCACAAGGGGGGCGGGGTTACTGTTATCACAAGGGGGGGAGGGGAGAAAGGATTTTGGGTGAATCACGTAGTTTTCATGGGGAACATAGAGGGGATCACCCCTTTACGTCACCAACAGAGTATTACGACAGGACTATAGAAAATTGACTGCCATTTAACTGCTTGAAAAGAAATAGGGGGGGAATCACTAGAATATATAATGGAGAATCATGCAAATTATTATCGTGACACATCAAAATCTGTCCACTTCTTCCTCCAATCCCCCCACCCCCTCCCCATCCTGGCGATAAATACCAACCGGTCTCTTATTGTGGTCTCTGTAACATTGATGCATGAGGCGTCTAGAACTATTCCTGCTCCCTCTATGTAGAATGTTAGTCCACCGAAGGTTAACCTTCCATGGCATTGTAGAAAGTCTATTATGCTTTGGTCCTTTTGATCCGAGTATACGGTACCTTTTTCATTAAAAGTAAGACCTACCTCGCTGGGAAAGACCTGGAAAAGGATTTCGTGGTTTGCAAGTTACAATGGTGATTACCGCCAACAAGAAGCAAAAAATCAACAGTTTTCCGGCCATTTGTATGCAAACTGCAAACAAAAAATGAAAAAGATGCCTGCATTGTTGAAACAGTTTACAGAAACAGCACGAATTTAAGTTTTTCATTGACTTGCTTGTCGGTGAAACCGTTTTGCCTTAAAGTTCAGCAGATGTTCTTTGAATAACAGATTGTTACTCGTCTCAAATTGTTTGTCAGTTACTAATGAAAACAAATAACGAAATCACGATCAAAGGCAACTTTAAGACAGATGCAGTGGTAGATTTTGGACATACAATCTCATTTGGGTTAAGATTTAATGACCGCATATACTCGACTATTTTCCTTGAACCCGAAATTGCAGCCCGCGAGCTGGGAGCTCCATACTAAGGAAAATGTTTAAACTATTAAGCTGTGTAAATATCTTTTGCCAGATGATGCATCGTCGTTCCTCAGGAATTTACGAGTGTATTGCTCCACTATTTGTAAAGTTTATATTTGACACGTGTCATGCATAATAATAATAGTAATAATAATGATAATAAGAATGATAATGATAATGATAATAATAATGGTTTATTAACAGATCCACTGGATGGCTCTTCCCTGTTAAAGTACATCAATTGCAATAGAAGAATAAATCATATGAAGTTATTTACAAAATTACGCAATATACAATTGAAAGTAGAAGTAGGATTAACAGAATCGAAATTACAGTAAAACTAACTAACCACTGTGTACTCTGTAATGTAAAAAGTTCCTTCAAAGTTTTAAAAAGGTTCTGTATTCTTTACAGTTTCTAATCGTTTCTGGTAGATTGTTGAATACCTTCGATGCATTATTTTGGAAGTGCCGTTTTCGATCGGAACCACTAATCTAATTGAATTGCTTGAGCACAGCCTTGCGGCATTCCTATTTTATGATTTTTAAGATAATCTGGCCAAGATGCAAAGCATTTATGCAAAGCCTTAAAGCATGATTTCAGGAAGTTCGAATCTCTTCTCTCATTGATTGGAAGCCATCCGACTTTAGGTGCATCCCGAAAGTTCTTAACATTATGACCGAGTACAAAACTTACGGCAGCAAATTGAACTCGTTGCAAACGGCGAAGTAAGAATTGTGGTAGAGGATAAAAAAAAAAAAACAGACCGGTGTAATCTATTTTTGACAAAATCAATATTTCTGTTAGTTGCTTCGTAAACTCATATTTGGCGAGATATCTCAGTTTTCTTAGTATTGATAGAGTTGCGTAGCATCTAGATACCGTCTGCTAGGATCGGCATTGTCGACGCTATCAACATTGTTCAATTCCTCATGGGGACTCACAACTTTTTCTTTTTCCCATAGTCTTGACTAAACGATAAACATATTTTTGAATAATGACTTGTTGTTCATTGGATTATATAAGCTTATCATTAAGTTTATCAAGTCCTGAACTAACCACTTGAAATAATAGGATTTACTAGGCAGAGACAATCCCGGATGTCTTCAGCAAAAAGACCCGGATGAACGGTGTGCGTTAGTTCTAAATTCATACCAAAACTGTTCGCTCTTAAAGTAACTCAAACAGATACGTGTTTTAAGAGTATCAAATTTCCTTACCAAGAGTCTTGGTAGAAATTTTAAAGAAGGAATTACTTTTGAGCTACTTAAGTGGAAAAAAATAAATTATCTCTGAGATGGCTTTCGAAATTACTCGCAGTGGGCCATTTATGGCAATTTGAAACTTAGAACACGATGTACATTACTCTAGGCCTTCATATTCTTTTCAGTTTCTTGGGGAAACGTGGAGACGAATACCAGACTTAGAGACCGAAATAAAGTCAGGCCCTGATACGTTTTGCATTTTCAAACATGTACAAGGAATAATTACAGAACCACGACTGCTCCTCTACATTTTGGGAAATTACTTTCTCCTGTAACTTTTTTAATGACATATAAAGTTTTGAATTTTCGACTGGAAAAAACTCCTAACCATATCGTTTCAAAATTATTTGCATCTCAAAATTGCATTTGTGCAATTCTGTTCACTTTGTATTTGTCAATTTGACTAACGAAGAACCTTCTTGATCACATTACCTTTCGCTACTGAAATATCTTTTAGACTCGCTTGAGATTCCTTATTACGTATGGTACAAGTGATGTGTTTGTTTCAAAAATCGTGATAAAATTTGAGCAGATCACTTTCTGTGGTAGAGGAATAGAAATGCTTTGAGAACTTTATGGTTGTTTGTTTTCTTAAAAATAGCTTGATCATTCCTTAAAAGCAATTGTTAGGATACCAACCTGACAACGAGATCGCTGAAGAAAAAAGTGCCTTTAAAATTCTGACCAGTCGTAAAACGAGGACACTTCTTGTGAAAATGGTTTGACACTAGTAATTCTAATGTATTTATACCACAACCACTTCCCGCAAAAATCTAATCAGCAGCTGAATATTCAGAATGTGTACACTTTTCTCGAGATTCTAGATGTTATCTCCTATTTTCTCACTTCAAATGCACTCGGGAAGCGTATTTTAAATGGAGAAGAATCCGGTCTTGTGTTTTGACTCTATCCAGAAGACCAAAGCTTTATTGGCGATTGATCAAGATGTAATCTTTGGTAAACACTAATTAAGCATGGAAAAACGGTTACAACTCGAAGCACGTACGTGCCTTTCGGCCATTTTCAAATCAAAAAGCCTGGAATGACTCCTTCCAATTTAAATCATGTTCGCTTTGCACCAAACAATGCTTATAACAGACTTTCCTTTCAACACGTAGACAAAAGTGCTTCATCGTAGTCAATAACGCTCTTAAATGTTGTTTGACCACAAGCTTGCCATATGCCATCGTTCTTTTTAACACAAATACGTTTTCTCTCTACTTAATTTTCGGTCTAGATTGCAAATTACCGCAAAAACCTTCCGGTGTTTAAAGTAACTTCCTCTTGTTTCGTATCTTTCATTCGATAATAGTAACCTAAAATTCATCAGCGGTTTTAAACTTTTTGTCGACTCACAATATAACATCATGGCGTTCTTATTGTGTTATCTTGAAGCTGTGTGAGTCTAAAGCATTTTGGAAATGCAAAATGGAATATTGGGATTATACCTTTTTGAGCTTTACTGCCTGATTACTGCACTATTGATTATAAATTTGCATCATAGTTAGTCGTAACACTTCCCTAATCTACCCTAGTTTTGCTCGTTACGGCCAATTTATTCGCAGTTTTACCATTGGTTCTCGTGTATGAAATTAATTTTGTTCGGTGAAAACTAAAACGCTTCGATTTTGTTTTGTTTTGTTTCGTTTTTTATGAACTGAGAGGAGTATTTCTATCAAAGAGCAAAAGTTGTATAAAACTCCACTGACTTAAAAAGTAAAAGTTTAAAATCACGAATAATTCGTTTGGTGAAATAAATGTAAAGAGGAGTGATACTTTAGAAAGAAAAACAAGCGTTGAAGTGCTGCAGATTTTGCGTATTTTCATTTCGTTTCAACCGGGGTGATTTTCCATCCGAAGTGTTTTCACTTTCCATTGAAAAAAATATTTCATCTGACCGATTAGATCAATAGTAATACTAGCCTCAGATTGAACCAGGGGCTTTTTGTGGTGTGAAAATGTCAATTAGTTCTCGCCGGAGCTCACCGCCCGATATTGTGTTTATTAACTCTTTTCCTGTATTATTCTGAAGTAAATAAACAAACTTATACATCCTGAAGGACTCTTTTGCAAAGTCACCGAACAACTCAATGCTCTGAACCGCAATTTTCATTGACAAACATCCCATATCATGCAGTATAAAACCGATATTTATCTTCATAGAAAATGTTTCTATATGGATGGATGATGAGCATCATATAGCATTAGAACAGCTTATGTTAGACTAGGTTTTTGCTTTTGGCGTGAAGTAAAAATTAATCACGCAATATTCAAATCAGTTCCGACTCTGTGGCAAAACGTTGTTTTGCACGAATTTCAGCTTCACAAAGTACTGTCGAAAGAGCACGCCCTTAAGTTCCCAGATTCAATTTGCAAGTCAGAAATGTGAGAGGTGATCTTCTTTGTTTTTCATGATGAGATAACTTATTTTCTTCCAAAATCGTAAATATCTTAAATATTCTTCCCTTTTTTTGCCCAATTTAATTATCCAATTTCTAAATACCCGGCGAAATCTTTAGGTGAATATGTGGGTAATTATTTTTGGCAATAAATGTTTATCATCATTATATCAGGAGATTGAAAATTATTTCCAATTTTGATTCTTACAGGAAAAAAAACATACATGGTACATCCTCTTTTGCGCCTCGAGGGTTCTCAAGCCTTTTGGCGTTTTTTTTTTTTCTTGTTTTTCGTTTACTGATGCATTTTCAACTTTATGGCGAGATCGCGTCGTGCATATGGTGGAAAATTTGGTTGGCTAGATTTGGTCAAAAAATCATAAGGATCTCTTCACTGAACTCACAGGGGTATGACATTGTTAGATTAGTCATGGCAGAATACAGCGATATGTTTTGATGTTAATTTTTTTTCTTAATATTTGTATTACTGAATTTTAGAATTTGTTATACCTTTTGTTGTATTGATTTCAATAGCGTATATCCTCAAACAGACCCTTTCATATTATTTTACTACTTCCTCGGTAAGATAAGTGAATTTGTGGTCAAAACTGAAGTGACTCTCTCGTTGAGGTCGTAATTTTTAAACTAGGAAGTTAGGTTGTGGATTGCATGAAATTTTAAATTTGATCTAGGACTTAAATCCTACTTCCACGATAACGAATGGCGTACTTCAGACTACGATCACTAATTCGAGATTTGCTGTTTCCAGGTCTCTCAGTTTTTGAACAATTTTATTTTACCTCAGAATGTGGTAACTGGTGTAGCATAAACTATTTTGAACCCCCTCATTTAAAAACTGTTTTCTGTGGCATAGCAAACAAAATTTGATTGGGCTCAATAATTAACAAATAAAACATGTATAATCTTCAAAGAGCAACAAATGATCGCAACATGCATGGACATGCTGCTGGCCTAACCTTTTTTGGCCCAGCATTTGCAAGGACCAATCGCACATGTTAACATCAGATACAAGCATGAAACCTCACCCGAGAAAAAAGCCCTTATTTAAGCGAATATAAAATATCGAAAATTAGTAAACTGATGCAAAATAAAACACTGAGTCGAGAGTTTTATCGATCGAAGCTGCTATGTACATAAAGTAATCAAGACATGATTACTTAACACTGCTTAATACACCTGCCGGGGAAGTATATTTATCCCGCAAATAAGAGCGATCGAGCGCAACCAAAATTTAATTAACTACGGCTTGGCTCACCAGAAATAAGTGTTGGTTCCATCGTCAGAGAACTGCTGAGTCTGTTTGATGTCCCACTCACACTTAATGCTAAACGGCCGTCGATCATCTCCTTTATCGTGTCCATTAGCCCTAACGATGTCCTTATCATGTGCCTGCCCATTTTGGTGGCTAGCACCTTCCTTAGGCTTTCCCATCAATTTGATTGGGCTCAATAATTAACAAATAAAACATGTATAACCTTGAATATTAAACTGACAGCACATGCACTTGCAAGAAAATACCGAAAAGCTAAGTTCACACCAAATTGAAAAAAAAAAGGGAAAAAAAAGATAAAAAACGCATTTTACGACATTTAACAATTGTTCATGGAAGGCGAATAACTGTTTTAGTGTAATTATTAAGGTGCGTTTTGTAAATTTAAAATTGTAAATTTTGCTACAAATTTTTGGATTACTCGTATCGAGATAAGCAGCCAGTTTCCACTCGAATTAAAAAGTTTATTTGATTCCCTCCGCAAAAACCCTCATATATTTCTTTTTTAAATGTGTTACGCCAAACATGTTAGCATCTTTTGTGCTCTTCAGAATTTTATTTTGTTCTATCACGTATATTATTTCCCGCGTATCATTGACAAAACGTGAGGCAGCCATTGTGAGGTTCAGCGCCCTTGCTATAACCACCTCGCGCAAGGGGATTATAGCGAGATATGCCGCAAACCTCGACCAATCAAAGTGCGAGCACATCTAGAATCACCACTAGAACAATTATACTAATATATATATCTTATTAACCAAGCGCGAGGGCGGTACTGGGAGAATATCGGCCCGAGGTCTTGACAGTACGGACCTCGCTGCGCTCGGTCCGTACAATAAAGATCGAGGGTCGATATTCTTCCAGTACGGTCCCGAGCAAGCTTGGTTAATAAAAGATTTATTATACGACTGAAGTTCAAAGGGACACAAATGTGGTATCATTCGGGACCATTCGGGACAGTGCCCGGTCCAATACTTAGAGAATATTGGACCGGCAATAGAGCATTTTGATTGGTTGATTTTAGTTATTGGCCCTCTGACTGCCCGAGTCGTGTAATAAATCTAGTT